GAACGATCATTTGAATACGGTATCTGAATCATTTAGGGTCCCTAATCTGGACCTGAACGTGGGTTTGGACACGCGAGAAAAACGAGTTTCTGTCATTGAATGATTGATGATATGGAAGAAATTGATGTGAAATTTGAAACCAGCAGGTGCGTAGGACATACGTACAAGCTCGACTGAATGAGGGTGCTTTTTCCCTGCCCGGGCACCTTAACGGCTGATGTGTTGAGGCGGGCTCGGACCGCATGCTTTGGAGTACCCAGGGGCAGCTCCTCTCAGTAGTCGGAAGTCGGCGTATTACTATTTCGCAGGGTCCAGACGAATGGGAGTACATCTTTGTAAGACGTTTTGTGAGCCGAAGAAGATAACAACCGTTTGTGCCGCCGAGACTCCGACTCGACCATTGACGACCTGTTGAAGAAGATGATCGTCTATCCTCAGGATAAGCTTTTTGATTCGAGTAAGTTATCTAGTCCGTCTATCCGACAAGTGGGACAAAAGTCACAAGTCCGGGGATGAGGAGACAAACTCCGTAGCTATACTTTTTGAGCATATCCACTCTGAGGTTGGCTCTCACTTACTAACCTAGAAGCAAGCGCTAGAACGCATCGACGAGCCTGGGCCCAAAGATGACACTCCTGAGACTGGTTTTCTCCGGTGACCGACCCATAATAATGAGTATCAGTCACCGGACCCATTTACCACCTGCACAACTGACCTTCATTTGGCCCTATCATTCACTGAGCTATGGTAGCAGTCGAAGAAAAGCCTCGCTCGCAACACCGGACCCGTGGCTGATTTATTCGGCATTACCCGAGATAGCCACAATCCGACTTACCGCCCGCCACAATGTTGTCTTCCACGACCTCGCCGTTCAAATGATCAGACTTGTTGAATCACTATATGAAACAAACTTTCGTGGATGACCGTGGAGTGTAGTAGTTACCGCAAAAAGCTGTCTGACACTCCAACCATGCAGTGTAACTTGATCATCAGTGCTTTATGGAACCGAGAAGACAAACGACGTTTATTGTGATGGCAAAGGGGAATCTCCATGTACGATGGTCCTGTATGAGTCATATGCGTGGCGAAAGGAATGATCTCGAGGGATCAAAATAAGGACATCATTGAGCCTCGACAGCTGTGATGATTGACTTGTTTGTTGCAGCCCCGACTCGGAAGGTCTCGAGAGGGAGCCAAAGAGACTGAGGTGTTTGGTGGTGAGCTAAGGCCAAGAAATTCAGTCCGTTTGGGGCTCTGGAGTTTGTCTGGAACTGATGGTAGACCCTGCCTACCGAATAAATTACTTTGGCCCCACAGCCAGTGCCTATCAAAACCTCTTTTCCAGAGACCATCGAGGCCGGCTATTACGTCGGTGGTATCCAAAGGGATGGATTCGACTTCCTCCAGAAGCCCGAGAACTCCGATCCGCGGCTTTTCCGCAGTTACAACGGAAGTCAGTCGTACGCTCATCGGAAACCGGGTGGCAACTAGCCTCGCGTGCAGTCAGTCCTGGAAAAATTCTTGTCCGAATTTTGGATACCTCCGTCGTTATTTCGATCCGGGAAAGGATCACGGTGGCGTGTGGAACTAATCACAATAGGGTTAATGTGCTCGTCCGCCTAACCACTAAAACGAAGAGTCAAAACACAATCAAAAACACAATCATGTCCATTGTGGCGCGTACGCGTCATTAAAGAATACGTACGAGTGTCAGTAAAAAAATGAATAGCATCTCTTTCCAAAGATGGACCTCCGGTCTCTGGCCCAAAAAGAAGAGATATGTATGTATATCCAGAGTCCACCAGACGAAGAGACGCGGGACTGACGGATGGAATGTTCGCAGGACGCGGACGCTGTGGCACTCAGATTCAAACTCGTATTACATGTGAGAAACTCGGAGGCTCGTCGGGGCCTGTGGGATACCTTATGCATCACCTGAGAAGCTCCGGGAGTAAGGATTACGAGTTCCTATTGAAACCTTGTTATTCTGTTTTGAGCAGGGTCAGCCTCCGCTCTGAGGATTCGTCAAATTGTCAGGTTTTGCGTCCTTACTGCTCAAGAGAATGATGAGGCCTGATCGATTGGCCTATCATCTGATGGCTATCAAATGGAGTGGGATACATTCGAGGTAGAGCAGAGTTAACCGTCTTGAAGCAGGGGAAGACAGGGTGGCTAATTTCCGGCAAAACCCGAAAGTTCTTAGAAAGCATAGAAACCGCCGGCATGCGCTTGTCCGTGGGCAGAGAACGGTCTCACTTGCTGCGTAGCGTAAGCACTGGCTCGTAAGGAGTCGGGATCCTCATGACCCAATTCGAATTATTCGAATTGCTCCGCCCCGTCTTCTCACGACGATCTTGTAGCCTCAAGAGTCTCAGCACGTTGTAGTCGTCCTCGATCTTTTGAATCTAATACATAGCTCCAGCGGTGGCAAGAACTCGCTTACATGAATACATTTCCTTGCCTGGATGCTTGCTTCTGGTTGGAACACTGGGTCCGCAAATACCGCCACAGACTCGTCGCAGGTCTGTGTATGATGAGGCGGAGCACTGTGAGGTTGATGATAGACCTATCGCCAAAAACTAGTAGATGGAAGGTCTTTGGGGTTGACCGTTCTTTGACTGCGAACAATTCCACATGTTGCCCTGAGAAGCATCAGATCGGGAAAGTCGGACGCTGAGGGAACTGAAATCCTGACGTCGATAAGGTTCAGTCTGTATGATGGAGAATGAAGAAGCATTCTCTACAGAAGGAGCACATTCCCCTTCACAGCCGTTGATCTATGTCAACCCTCCGGTTTGGGTGTGGTAGTAGAAGCCCGCCCAGTCATAAGAGCAAGTTGACGGAAGAGATTCTGACCACACGAAGACGCTTGCCTTCCTTGTGACTTCCCACTGTTCGACATTGAGGCTTTTGTCGTTGAGCTCTGTTGATCATGGTCATAGCTAGGGTCTTCATCCGTCAAAAGGTTTCGGGTACCGTGCACATGTGAGAGCCCGAGACCTGGTCGCTTACAAGATGGATAGCTTGTCTATGAAACGGACGCAGAAGTTGCAAAGCTAGAACTGACGTCAGGTCGGAGCAACCTTGGGGCTTTGAAGTTGTAAGATCACACGGTAGATAGCCGTGCCTAGGTAGAATGGATGCATTTGGAGCCGGGACCCACACAATGAAACGATATCGAAGGGGTGGGGTCGAGACCTAGTGCATGAGCATTGTACAGGTGTGGGGCCCCCTCCCCTTCATTGCTGCGGCCGTGAACGCGAGGTACGAGAGCGCGTGAAGTGACTGGGCTTCGAGTCTACCAAAGGGAGGAAAGGTTGACCGTCATGAGGGGAACGAGCGAGTGCATGTTTAGATGTAGCCCTAGCGTATTGCCCAAGAGATTGAGGCCTGAGACCTCAGGATAGACACTAGAGTGAACTGGCACAAGATTGAAGCGACGGGAAGCTGAGGCGACCTTGGAAGGACTTGATTGGCACGAGAATACAGTGTTTGTCATGGCCCAGTAATTGAGTCTAGACCAAGGAGGATAATAAGACCAAGACCATGACGAGCTTTTCGTCACATCATGAATCAGCAAGCTTCACTGCCATCTACAGCTTCCTGCTACGTGGTGCTAGGTGAATTCGATTTTCGAGGTTCTCCTCACCGAAACCGTGGTGGAGTTTTAGGAGTCCCGACGGTCGCGAGCTGTGCGTGAGCCAGTCGAGAGACGAAGCACAGTCAAGATGAGTGTACTTGGGTAGCAAAACGATGCGACTGCCGTTCGAACTCGAGTATGTCGGTCAAATTTTCGAGAGGCTCACCAGGTAGCCGTGGACAAATTCACCCCTACTCCAATCCTCCGATCCTGTTGTGGTAGAACGTCGAATTTTGACATGGAATTGAACGTTTACAGGCTGTAGAGGATCCGACCGTGAGGTTGAGGCCAGAGATGATGGTGGTCTCATGGACGAATACAGCAAAGAATCTACTCTGACTCAGGACACGTGGGGACGGTGAGTCGATCTTGTTCGGACTTTGCCGGTGATCTTCGTTCGTAAACCCCTTGTCTAAGCCAGAAGGCTTCCCTCGAATCGTTTTCTCTTCCCACTCCAGTCTGGTTCGCGGGTCACACGGGCCTCGAATCCGCTAGGGACGATCATCGAATCTCCACACCAACCCACCAGGCTAAGTCCACACTCCCGTTTTTCACCCAAGTGCTATGACAGCCTGTGAGAAGGCTTGAGACGGGGAAAAGAAAGCTCTTTGCCAGTTATTACTAATATTCAGTACCCTACTCCAACCCACCAGCTCGATGCTTTGTTGACATGTCGTATAGGAGAACTCATGGAAATTTTACACAACGTTCGCCAGGTTCGTCACGACGCTCATTTCGCAGACCTGTCGCGGTCGGAGGATTTAAGAGGATAAAATAGCTCGAAGGCAACGGATTGACGAGCTTGGACGATATCAGCGAGGGATCTGGGGGCTTCGAATGCGGAACCATGGGATCAGGACCTTTCTGTTATGTATGTGATTGGGGGCCATCGTCTTTCACTGATCATTCAATACCTCCGCCCTAATTTCTCATGATGGCCATTGTAGCGAACGACCTCTCTGAACGTGGCTGTTGTTGGCCTGGATCTTCTCTGCTCCGTCCGCAGGTCTGGTGGGGACACGCTCACTAAATACCTTCCTGTGCTGCTTGGATACTGCCATTACTTCGCTCTGTGTGAATTATCAGATTTACGCATACCTGAAGTTATAGAGACCTGTTTCCGGTCTCTATATGCAACGAGCCCCAGCCGGTGACCGACCTACCACCAATAGGTGGCCGTCGAAAACCTTGCTCAAATCACCATCATGCAATGGCGGAGGATGGTCAACCCATGTATACGCGGTGAGCCTGTAATGCTCCTGCACGTATTGCCTTGGATGGAAAGAGGTACGATGGGATACTTGAGTATGAAGTGCCTGAACGGAAAAAAAGAGGAAAAACTCTGACTTCACATTGGAGATAGCAGCAACTTGTTTCGATCAAGTGACCTCGGGGTTCCATTACAAGGGAGTATGGGCCCCGCGCGCTACCACTGCGCCATGCTGCTGACATTCACTGACAACAAAGAAGGTATAGCTTCAATCGCTCGTTAATAATCGGAGGTCAGTCTGCCGGTAATGATCTTCTCTACGTGAGTGAATACAGGGAGGTAATGTGACGCTTCCAGGAGTTCACAGAAATCAAGTCGTATGACCCAAGGGCCAAAGCCTGCACTCAATGTTTATCCCTCAACCCGAAGCGCCGAGTGTCCTATGTATGTCGACCGTCCCGCATTTACCACACTCCATGAGGCAGCCGTGAGTCGTGACAAACAGAACCAACGGAGTGACCAGTTCTACAGCATCGGAGTCCCCACGTTCTCGTCTCTACGCATTTGACGCTGGCATCCATCGACAGAGATAGAGAGGGTCAAAGGGTTACAGTTGAAGAGGGTCAATGAAGAGTTGGTCGAACTTGGCGAGGAAAAAATTTGAGATGGTCCCAAAAAATGTTCATATAGGCATCGTGATTCGTAGGCAAATCGGGATAGTTGAGTGAGAGAGACCCTGGGACAATAACGGGCAGAGGTTGGGAATTGAGATGATGGGCGTTCTGAGTCAAAGCTCGAGCCTGGCTGTGTCAATGTTTGGCTTCACCGTTATGCCACGCGCTCTGATCTCTACCCTCATTGCTTGATGTGCTCTCCCTCGTCGTTTTTCTCATCTTGCTCTATTTTTCACTAAAAACCGCTCTTTTTTTGATCTGATAGGAAGATTGTGGTAGAGAAAGAAGAAGAGAGGTGAAACAAGCGAGCAGAAGAGACGAGTGAAGACGGTGGAAGAGAGCGTAACTTGGCAGAAGAAAATTTGCAGGCAATGTCGGGAAAGGCACCTCCAAAAGGCCCTCGGGCGTTGTTGATGACAGGTGGTGGTCCGTCTCCTGGCCCTCAAGCGCAGCAACAATCTTCGTCAGCGTCGGCAACGGCGAGCAGAATTGGCGCAGCACCTCCAACCGGTCCTCGAAGTCTGATGAACGGTGGTCACCATTATCGAGGTGGTGCTCCCAGAGGAAAGCCTTATATGAATGGGCATGCTCTTGGTCCTCCGCCTCATCCTCGAAGTCACCCAATGAAGCCGGTCAGCGTACCAGGACCTGGTCCGAATGTTCTCAAACAGCCACAGCAATCACCTGGCCCTCCAAATGTGCGTTTTTCGCCGTTATGTTCATCTCTTTTGGCGCTGAATTAGACTTACGATTAAATTCGTGTAGGGATCGTCAAGTTTGGGACCTATACCGAATCTCGTGAAGCCGCAACTACAACATCAACCGCCAAATGTGAATAATTTTCTCTAATACCGCGCGTTTCGTATCGAATGTTCACCTGAATCTTACTTCTAGGGAGCAATAACACTAGGGCCTACCCGACCAGCGATATCAATCTCAATTGGAAAGAAATTGGGACCTTCAGCGTCTAAACCACCACCGCCTCAACCTGCATCTGAACCTCCTCCTCCTCCTCCACCAAGCGGCCCGCCTCCTCCACCACCCCCTGCAAATTTACCCTTACCTCCTCAACCGGATAGTTTACCTCCTCCTCCGCCACCTCCAGAATCAGCACCACCACCACCCCCGGGAAGTGCACCTCCTCCTCCACCGTCATCAGCCGCACCTCCTCCTCCAGATCTGCCACCGCCACCATTACCTTCAATCTTCACCAATACACCCGGTCAGTACCCCCAATTCTATCGAAAGATGTACCATTTTGCTGACTGTCACACTTCCAAAACGCGTTATTCTCTCACATTTTGCGCGTTGAACAGACCAATCAACTGCACCTGCACCCATTTCGATCGCTCTTCCTACCCCAGCACGCGCTCCGGCAGGTCCGCCGCCTGTTCAGTTGCATACTGCGGCTTCGGTTCCTGCTAATGCTCCTTCTCCTGCGGTTTCGTTGACGATACCTTCACCTTTACTTCGACCACAATCGTCCTCGTCGAATGTTTTTCAACCTCCGCCTTCTCCTCCGCATGCTTCGGGGTCGATGGATAGGGAGCGTGAGCGAGAAAGGGAGAGGGATAGGGATAGGTTGAGGGATAACGATAGGGACTGGGAGAAAGAACGGGTCAGGGAAAGAGATTGGGAATGGGACAGAGATAGAGATAGAGACAGAGACCGGGAGCGCGAACGAGACCGAGACCGAGACCGAGACTGGGACTGGGATAGGGATAGAGAACGCGACCGTGACAGAGTTAGAGAGCGAGAAAGAGAACGAGAACGAGAACGTTCAGATTCACGAGCAGGTTATGGTCACGGAGGATCAGGTAGATCGACACCGCAACATTTCTCGATATCGAGGACGAGATCACCTCCACCCCTCCCGTTAGTAGAGCACGTTCCTCCAACTCCTCCTCCTCCTCCTCCTCCTCCACCTAAACCGAAAACACCCCCTCCTCCACCAAAGTGGGATTTACCACCTTGGCCGCCGTGTCGTGTACCAGGGTCGTCTTCGTCTTCCTTAGCTTCAACTTCTGCCTCTGCTTCGTCGTCGAGTAATCTCAACCCACCACAACCGTCTACGTCCTCCCCGAATCCTGAAGATTACACCTACTCATCGAAGAACCCACGGTCGCATCGAATAATACACGATCCTACTTTCCCGCACGAGTATGTCAAATATCGGCAAATCAAGGATGCTCTTTGGAGGGAGAATGTTAGGAGAGGGACGGCAGAGAAGATGGAGCAGCAGAGTACGGCTTGGGAGTATACGGCTATCCACGATTATTTCGAGCTTTTGGGTACTGCGATTCGGAGGTCGAAGGGGAAGGGGAAGGAGAGGGCGGATCCGGATGTTGTGATGGAGGAAGGGGAAACCGAGGAGAAGGTGGTGGATGTGGAGATGGGTAGTGTGGAGGGTGAACGTTCGACGAATACGAATCCGATAGCTTCGTCGTCGTCGTCTTCGTCACAATTGAAGATGACACCTGAAGAGTTGGCGTATCTTGCGAAAGAGCGGGAGAAGGAGCATCGGTTGCAGCTAAGCAATGGGCAGGTGAGGGGGGCAGGGAAGGAGGTCATCATTCGGTACGACGGCGAAGTTTTGGAAGATGGAGAGTGGTGTTGGGTGTCAAGAGAGGAGATGAAATGGAGTGAAGGTGGTTTCGGAGATGATTTGGGCGATTATGAACCAGGGTGGTGGATACGGGAACCAAAGCCCGTACCAGAGGATCCAAGGAAACGAGGAGCGGAGAGGAAGTTCAGGCAGGCGTTTGTTGAGTGCAAGTACGAGGTACGTCTTTTGGTGCTTTTTTTCTTCATTCTTCCCTTTATTACTATGTGACGCTTGCATGTTTCAAGACGTGAGGCAGGTTGCCTCTTACATTTCTTTTTTTTATTGTTCAATGAACCTTACTAACGATTTTTTTCGTTACGCTTTTCTTAACTGCCCACTTCCAATCAACACGAACCGTCCAACAGTACGATATCAAAGTCTCTGCAGGTCCAACTCCGCCTACGAGTGTTCTCGTCACCAACATCGCGCTCTTGACACCCAACACTGTCATCAAGCAGCATTTCTCCGCCTACGGACACATTGCATCCTTCGAACCTCAAATCGACAAGGAGAACGGAAGTCCGCTCGGTATCGTCCTGATTCGGTATACGAAACATGAAGAAGCGAAGAAGTGTGTTGAGAAAGAAGACGGTAAACGGAGACCGTGGGGTGGTGCTGGGTACGCGAATTGGGGTGCCTCGGGGCCTACCAGCACTATCAACCGATCGAAAGAGGGAGAGGAGATCAGTGTTATATTCGATGGCGATGGGACGAGGACGCAGGCTGTTGTGAAGGTGCTCGATGAGAGGAAGAAGGAGAGGAAACGGAGGGAACGAGGAGAACTCCCCACTTTGACTCTGACTCCGACACCGAGTTCCAGTTTGCCACCTCCGACGCCGATACCAAGTACTAGTGAGAGGGTCGATACGCCGAGCCACTATAGTCAAGGGAAGATGACGCCTCAACCACCTTCGAGTTCAAGTTCACATTCGCATCCACCGAAAGCGGTGAATGGACGACCTTTGCATCATCCTTTACCGTCGCGGCCTTTGTATGGTTCGACTTCGTCACCTTTTGTTCCTGGTAGCTCGACACCTCGACATAATCACCCTCCGGCACCACCTACACCGATCAATGGGATGGGAGGTGGTAGTACACCTTCGAGTGCTCATCCTCCGGCCCATGGTCATGGTCATGGAGCACCTTCGTTGGCTCTACCCATTAAGCCACCTGCGCAACCTCTGGACCCAATTCCTTCTGTGCCGATGCCGAGGGCATTGCCCCCTTCGACGTCTTTCACTGCAGAGCGGATGGCTCCGACAGATCCAAATGCGAAGAAGTCGATTCCTGCTGCGTTGCTCCGTGCAAGACAGGATGCGAAGACGAAGGATGAGGAGAAGGAGAAGCAGATGAAGAGGAACTTGGAGGGGGACAAAGAGCCTGAGAAGGAAGCTGATTTGAAGGAGAAAGAGAAGGAGAAAGAGAGGACGCGTGGGAGAGGGAGAGATGGGAGAGATGAACTCATGGTTGAGCCTATGAGGCGGCGAGATCATAGGAGTTCGAGTCGAGATAGGGCGTCGTGGCGGGATAAGGATAGGCACCCGAGTGATAGGAGGAGGCGTAGTACAAGTCGGGGACGAGGCGTGAGGAAGGGGAGTCCTATTCGGTCTCGTTCGGAGTCGCCTACGCCTGGGTATGATGACCTACCGGAGGATGATTGGGAGATGGACCATGGCGAGCTTATGAAGGAACTCTTCAACAATCGTCACATGCATGTCTGGGTCGCACCTTCGGATGGCGGTGACATTGAGCAATGGGTGAAGCAAATGAGGAAACCGCAGCTCGAAAGCACCTTCAAGAATCTTGAAATTTCGAAGGTATGTGTTGCGTTCTGTGATTTTGTTCTGTGTTTCTGACTTGAGAGACTCGTTTCCGTGGTATAGATGATGAAATCTGACAAGGGTGTTTTCTTCACCTTCGAACGAGACAACCTCGCTCACCGTGTTGTCAATGTCTCC